TTAATTTTATTTATTTATTTTTTATATTAGCTTGACAGATAAAATGTTTTATTTTTCCAAAATTCGGTCTTGAAATATACTTTACTTAAATATTTTTTGAAAAGAAATGTTTTAATAAGCAAGATTATAAATTTATCGAATTACTTTTCAGAGATATTTGTAAAAATAACTTTTAATTTTAACTTTAAATCTGTTTATATATATTTTAAAAGAATAATTTTGCTTCATCCACTCACTTCCACTGATATTATATATACATACATAAAATAGCTCAACAAATATAAGTAAAGTATAAAGTAATAGTTTAAATCTAGTTTGTTAAGTCGTGAACCAAGTAAACAGGAAGAACTACTATAACCGAATACCTCCAATACCTCTATGTAAAAACGATTTGTTGTGATTGTCATTAAGCAACACACACAAACAAATACACAGACACATAAATATATACATTACGATATATATTTATATTAATTACAATAACAACAATTTGGGCAATCGTACAATTCAACTGAATTTATATACAACAACAAGAAAAAAACAAAAACAAAAACAAAATAACGAAGCTAGATCAGCCGATAACAAAGTTATATACATTATATATATGACAATTTCGATGAATATTTTTATGAGCTAAGCATAACGAACGATTTTCCAAGCATTTAGAACACATATTAACCTAGATCTAAGTGTATATATAACAATATATATAGCTGTAAATATATATATCTATATATATGTATATCTTTATATATGTACTCGAGACAACTTACACTACAGAATAATTTTAGTGCAATCTTTCGTTTCAATTTAATTTAAATATTTTATCGAAAACAAAAATCAAATGCAACAAAATATTGTGTAATTTTCTTTGTTCATTCAAGTGTATGGTATACAAGTTCCTCAAGATTAACAAAAAAAAAAAAAAACAAAATGAAATAAAATAGTAAACGCATCTCAAGGTCTACAGAACTTTGTACTTGAGAAACTGCGCATTGTACACACACACCTCACATGTTTCATATGAATTATGTATATTTAAATACGACAAATTATATATACGTATGTATCTTAGCTGTATAAATATATCTATCAATATATATAAATATATACATATATTCTATGTAATACACGTAACGTCAATTTAAATTGTATATAATATTTGTATTCAATATTATGCTCAATATATGTGCAATATATTTAGTCCAATATTCAGCACTTAAAAAATAATCCTTAAAAGTATATATATAAAAAAAAGAATACAAAAAAAAAGAGAAACTAGAAAAATTCATTATTAAATTATTACATAATATAACTTATATAACGTTCTATATATGATTACAAACTATCTAAGGCATGGGCTGCTTGGCACATTTAATTTTCTAGTTTATTGTTGTTGTCTTTTCAAGCATTTTAAATATTATAAAAACAAAAAACAAAAAAAAAAAATTAAAAAAAAAAAACAAACAAAAACAATTACTTAAAAAAACAAATATTCATTAATTTTTTAAGAAAACCTCAATGTACGAGTATTTATTATGTTTATGGCGAATTGTGTGAATACAAAAGCGAAATATATATTACAATATTGTGTTAAAGCCGCAACGATTTTTAATCAATAAATGTAGGCACCAACCAAACACCCCCAACAAAATTAGCCCCAGCTCCCAGTTGCTACCCATTCCCTTTGCTGGCGACATTATATAAATTTTTAATTTATGCAAACGAAGCCCTTTCGCATTATTTTACATTTGCCACGAGACGCCCCACTAATGCTGTCGCCGCAATGCTGCCACATGCCACCCAAACAGTCCCTAACCCCCTTTCGGTCCAACCCCAACTTCACATTTAGAATTTTTGCGCCTGAAGAAAAAAAAAGAATCTCTCTCCTTCTATATATAAATATATATATATAAAATGAAAACCGCGCCGCGCGCGCAGCCAGAAAATGTCACAGTGTTTTCCCATTTAATCTTCACAACAACAACAACAACAACAACAACCAGAGCAGAGGCATCGGCATCGGCTGTGGCAGCTACCCCCAGCCGCCCCAACCACGCCTACCCACCCACGCGCCGCCCCCTTTCATTGTGCCCCTTTTTAACGGCAGCAGCCGAAAAAGGCTTCGTTCTATGTACAAAATGGCAGCATGTATTACATAAAACTCGTCTTATGTGCTTACACATAGCACAAGGCGTCGACGTCGTCGTCGTCGTCAACGTCGTCATTCTGCGCCAGTTCCTTCCACTCCTTTTGATTCGTGGGGCTGGTTGAAGCGCAGGGGTGAGGGGCAGCTCCTATGCTGCTTATTAGCATTTCAGCCTTTCTTTGCTGCCTTTCGAGTAAATGATTTAGACTTGGGTACGCAAGAATTTTTGCCAAATGAGTTTACGAGTGTTTGGCTGTAAGGATTTTCATACCCTATAAAAGCAATATCAGTGGGGTATATTAATATATAAAATACAAAATTAATAGATCTATGAATGGCATTTGTTATGGAGGATATTTCAAATTCATACTTAGTCACAAAATAATTTTTCTGTTAAGCTATTTTTTTAAATATTCGTAGGTAAAATGCACACATTTATGATGGTCTAACGACGTTCTATAAATCCATGTTAAATGTGAATTTAAGTTTTATAGTTACACAAAAAATAATTAATATAACAGGGTAACTTTTCTTCTAATACACCCCAGCACTTAGATCGCATTGTTCTCAGAAATAAAACCATATTAATGACATTTTTGAAATTTGGCATATTTAATGGAATGTTGAAAAGCATTTGAAGCTTGTTGGCCTTATATACTCATACAGGGTATTTAAGTTAAAAATTTGCGTAATGTTTCTTAAAGTAGTATAAATATATTTTACTATACTATTGAGTTATAATTCGATGTAGTATATATCTAATAACATGTAGTACATATCTAATTATTCTAGAAAGTATTTTGAATATTGGCAGTCTAGGGTATTTGCCAGTCGAGGTGAATGAGCTCTTCCAGCTATAGCCCCACAAGTACGAAAAGGCAGTTGAAATAAATTTTAAAGGTTTCTTCTTTTTTACGGCCAACCGCCGAGCAGCGGCTCATTATTCAAATTGAAAAATTATGATTTGCGCCCAGGCAGGACTCGAAGTCCGAAGTTCGCGTCCAGCGAAGCAAGCGATTCTAATAAGCTGCCTCAAGTGCAGTAGACTAAGGACGAGGAATGGGGTGCGAGATGCCAGGCACGGGGCTGGCGGGTGCGGCAGTGGGACAGCTGATGCCGCATTGGCTGCCGGTTTCATTATCCTGCGGCCATTCGCCTCAATTAAATGGGTGAAATTATGAGCCTTATTAATATGGCAGTCCTGCGTGCTGCGGCTCGGCTGAGTTTGGTTGAGCTTGCTTGGTAGATAGATATTTCTGGGCAGCCTTACAGGGCTTAGTTGATTTTGAATAATTGCAGGCGTTTGTAGAAACTTTCTAAGTGGGGAAATTTTAATACATATATTTAAAATGTCGCCTTGAGATTTAATCTGGTTTTTAAAATATAGTAAATTGCAATAGGCATTGTAGTACTATGCTAAGGATAAATACAAACAGAAATATACATACAATCTTTAACCATTCACTACCCCTTCTTAACCCTCTAATAGAGCTCAACTATTATGAACTATATTGCTTAAAATTGTACAAGCACAATAGATTCACATAGACACGCACAATATAACAAAGAAAAATTGCAACAGGATCAATGCAGAGCAAAACAAAGAGTTAACAAAGAAAGGGAAAATGAGACGGAGATGAAGAA